AGTTGTAGCTTGGGAATCTTAGCAGAGTTCTAAAGCACCAAATGATAAAGTTCAGATGAACATTTCCTTAATTACAACCTCAGGAAAAGAGGATATTGGAAGAACATTTACAAGACTCTTGAACACAATACTCTAACCTGGGATGTGTAATCCAAAGTTCAATTCTTGAAAGGTTTATGCATACCAGTTACACACTACATTTACAAATGATTATGCAGGTCAGCCCATGCAACAGGTGATTTGATGTAAAGCTAAAGGTTCAAATTTAAAAGCAATATAAAGTGTCACAAATAAAGCACAACTGACAGTGTCTTCTAATATAGCCTCCTGCTCCAAAAAAATCCAAAATTGATTATAGTTAAGTTTGATGAAGTACAAAACCCACCAAGGCAAAAGCAAGGAAATCTCCTGTAAAAGTAACCATATTTTGCACATCTGAACACCCTATACATGACAATAGCCAATAACGCAGACTCCAATGCCACCAGAAACCACCATACATACATAACATAAAAATCTGTGCAGACACCACAGTCCTCTAAATCATAAAAATGCAAAACTATTATGCCAATCTTGACACACAAGGTTATTTCCTGAATTATTTTTGGCATTAGTGTTTGGCATTAGAATAATTAAAATATTATTTTTGGCATTAGTGTTTTGCATTAGAATAATTGAAAGGAACAATGCATTTTTACCCTCTTATAATCCAAGGTGTGTGGTATTTTGTGGAAGAGGTGCGGTGTATATGACCATCTCTAGTAGAGAAAGGCACTTAGAGAGAGAACAAAATACCCTGTCCCCATTATTTATTCATACTACAGAATCATCTAAAGGCTTCAACTGGTATCAGGGCCACACCGTGCTCCGCACTGTATGTACATACTGTGAGGCAGCCCTTGCCATGAGGAGTTTTCCATCTAACTAGACAAGACAGACAAGGGGAGAAACAGAAGTATTACCATCATCTAACAGATGGGGAGATACAGCAGTGACACATGTCACATCAAGAGCAGTGGGGTAGTTCTGCTACCTTCTCTGCCTCACTTTCCACCACTGCTATGAAAAGTGGGTAAAAGGGAGGTCTGTGATAGCTGTCACTGTGCCAAAGAACCTGCTGTTCTTCTAAGAGGGTCATGTCCAGTGAGATCTCTATTGGAGCTGGGTTCTGCAGAGGAGGGGAGTCAGCTTTCCCTACACCATTTATGGGGGCACGTATTATTCTGAGAATACTCTGAAGGGAGAGTAATACTTTGGGGGAGCTGGAATGGGAGGGATCAAGATGGCTGCCCTAACTCTCGGCTATCTCCCTGTACTGCCCACACTGCAGCCCCTATGCCAGTGGAAACCAAACTCTTTCCCCACAAGCCCCCTCAAGATCTACACAAGCTTCAGACTGGCTAACTCAGGAGCAGGACTAGGAGTCCCATTCCAGGCCCATCTACAGCTGTTATCCCTCTTCTCCGCTCACCTTGCCTCCCGCTTTTCGTCAGAGACGGAGGAGGTGAATGGCAGCTGCAGGCAGGTTAGAAGCAACGCTGTCAGCTTGTCTGTCTGATGAAGACCCAGCGCTAGGTAACAGGGACCTTGCTTTGGCTCAAATAGCAATCCCTCATTTGGGCTGGAGCAGGACTTTGCAAGGGAGGGGAGCCATAAGGGGTGTTTGACAGGGCGTAACGAGGACTACTACTTTGGGAGAAAGAGTAATTGTGATGCAGATATGACCACTCCAACCCCTTTACATGCACCCTATAGGATTGCTCCCCAAGTCCCACCACTTACTAACTCACCTCTGCCTTCTATAATTGTCTATAAGCATGCACGCACAGAACAGATGATATCACTGGCTCCCTACAGGCTGGTATTGGAATAAAGCACAGCATAGGAGAGCAAAAGTCACCGCCAAAAGATACTCAAGGTGCCCAAGGTGAAAATAAATGAAGTTCTATTGAATAAGCTGCAATAGTTCCACTTCTCACTCCAGCTCTTTTTGGAGCAATGTAATGTTGTTTGAGCCTTACGAGAAGCATACCATTTTCAGGGGACTAACTGTTGATATTCTTAATGACATGTGTCTGAAAATTGAACTAGAACATACAGAATTTCAAAAAGGAACAATTTTTTAAAAAAAGCTCTTAAAAAGAATGATTACTTACTTTACAGTAACTGTGGTTCTTTGAGGTGTTTTGTCCACGTGGATACAGTTAAAGATGCAAGCACACCACATGAGACTGGAATCTTTTGACCAGCAGTGCCTTTTGGAGCCCAATCTGCATCTTGCATATTCTTGTATCCCCCTCCAACCCCAACGGTACGTAGGGCAGAGCAGCCCCAAATGCCTCAGTTCCATCATTCAGAGTATGACTACGCTACAGCAGCACAGCTATGGCAATGAAGCTGTAGCACTGTAGACACTTCCTACATCGACAGAAGGGGTTTTTCCATCAATGAAGTTAATTCACCTATCCAAGAGGCGGTAGCTAGGTCAACTAAATATTTTTTTTGTCTCCCTAGCTACATCTACACTGGGGTTTAGATCAACCTAACTACATTGCACATGGTGTGAAAAATTTCACACCCCTAAGCAACAAAGCTAGGTTGATCTAATTTTTAAGTGCAGAATCCCACCATATCTGAACTCTGAAGTAGCAATGGAGGGAGCACATTGGGATCCAGACAGACAAAATATTTTGAAGAACTACAGTTAACATTCTTTCTTCGAGTCTTTGGCTGTGTGGTTCCCTCTTTTGACTAGTTAGCAATTCCCAGATGAATACAAAGGTCTGAGAAATCCTACCTAGCTATATCTAACTAAATAAGGATTGAAGAACAGGTTTCAGATTCAGCATCTGATCTAAACACCAAATCTAGGCCACAAAGCTGGGAAACGGTATGGGCTAAGCTCGAAGTGGCTGCCCTGATACAGGAACAGTTCTCAGGTATGCTGAGGAGGTTGCCTGGGCTCTAATTGAGAGCCCTGATGCTTGAAGGAAGGATCATATATGCTGCTAGTTGATAAATTGTGATCTGCTATGTGTTCCACTTAGGTTTGAGCGAGAGTTGGGAAAAACAGGGAGGTTGGTAGTTTTGTTTAAATTAAAGCAGGACACCACCTTGGTGAGGAATTCAGTACCACCTTATCCTTGTGGAAGACCATATTTCGGGGGGAGGATGTCTGCCATTAGTGCTTTAGTCTCACTAACTCTCCTACCTGAAGCAATAGCCACCAGTAAGACAGTTTTGAATGTGAGATGGTGAGGAAAGCACTTAGATAAGGATTGTAAATACGGGTTCCATAAGAAATATGCAAGTTCTCCATAATCAAACATGTGCAGAGCCAAAAGAGTTCCCACAGGATTAGGTACACTGGCCTCTACAACTGGAGCTAAGGGAAGTGCTCTGTAAACCAACAGGTAGACCTTTATATTCCTTCAGACAATCAATAAAGGACAATATGCTCACAGAAACACATACTGTCCCCACTAAAATCAAGGATAGCCAGTGAAATCAAAAGAAGTAGGACTGACCCCAAAGGTATCCACAACAAGAACAATTAATAAATATGGTTTACCACAATCCTACACCATCACCCCCAATACTGCCAGTGCATGAGGTTTCAAGGAGATTAAGCTATATGGAGACTATCAAGGATTAGCAACAAGATATTTATGATAATGAAAAAGAAAAGATAGTAAAGTCAAATATTTTCCTTTGCCTTCAAAGTTAATTGGGAATTTTCCAGGCAAACTCTCTGGTTCCAAAGTCAACTATGAAAAAGCTGATGTATTTCCAAAGCATTACTTACTTTATTGACAAAAGTTGTGTTTTTACTTGACATTGACTGCACCTATAGAAGTATTTAAGTCCAACACGTCTACTAGTCCTGCACTGAAGCCTAAAACCTTGGTACAACCAACAAACAGATTTATTTGGGCATAAGCTTTTGTGGGTAAAAAACTCACTTCTTCAGATGCATGGAGTGAAAATGACAGAACAGGCATACTCCTCATTGTTTTTGTGGATACAGACTAACACAGCTACCCCTCTGATACTTTTTGTATTGTTTTATTTTTAAACATTACATGAAAGTCCCAAATGATGGGGCTATCCTTTTTGGAAAATTCAATCTAGTAAGAGAAACACAAGGAAAACCATAAGAGCCACACTTTCCTTTTCGTAATTTCATTACTCCTAGTTTATACCCCCTCATACAAAGCAAAACGTTACACTACTTAAATAATATTTAAAAACTTAACACAAGTCTCTTTAGTCAAGCTCTACAAATTTAGCTCTTTTACTACCCCCTCTTAAATTAACACTTCCAGCCAGTTAACCCTTTGTTCCTTTTGTGTCCCAAGCCATACAGAGTTACATAATGGAAAAATATATATACACTTGTAGAAGAGATTTGGGGGGGGGGGGGGGAGAACAACATAGCTTGAAGCAAACTCCTGGAAGCAACTCAAGGGAGAAGATGAAAAGCAGCAGAGCACCCCACTTCTCAGCGGCCAGGAGGCTCTGCATCGGGGAAAAGAGATCGGAAACCCCTTTTCCCTCCCGGCAGAGGAGGATGCAGGGGCGCTGCCAGTGCCTCTGACACAGACTAGCTAGAGCTTTATACAAAAGACGGAGGCTCCAGGCAGGGCCGAGGGGAAGCGCTCCACGAAGAGGGAGCAGGAAGCCTGGGCTCGGCGACAGAGAGCCCCAGGGCTCGGCGTCAGGCCCCCCCGCCGCTCACGCCTGCCTAGGGAATGGGCGCATCCCCAGCTAGAGCCGCCCGGCGAAGAGCGGGCTCCCGGAGGGAGAGCTCCGGGCGTGCGAGGCGCTGCTGGCGGGCCTAGCCCCGCAGGGCGATTGGCTGTGGCCCCGGGACGCAAACCGGTGAAGAGCGGCGGAGGCAGCCCGGAGATGGGGGCCCGGCCCTGGCTGCCCCTCACCGTGCGGAGCCTCCGCTTGGGCCCGGGGCCGCGCCGTGCTACAAGGGAAAGGCCCGGACTCACCCTCGGTCACCTCCAGCACCTTCACCTGCTCCTCGGCGGCCGCGCGCACGCCCTGCACCGGGCACAGGATGCCGGTCAGCGTCTCCACCAGCGCCTCCTTCAGGCCCTGCGCCACCAGCCCCGCGCCCGCCATCCTGCGCCGCCGCTCCGGCCGGCAGGCTCCACAGGACGGGCCGCCGCGCGCGCCGAACGCACACACGTCACGCGACGACGGCACGCGGCGCCTCCGAGGGAAGCCGCGAGCCGCGCACAGCGCCCCCGCGGGCCGGCGGGGAGCAGCGCGGGGGCGGGGAGCCCGGGGGCGGGGCGGGGCGAGCCGGCCGCGGTGTGAGGTGGCCCGGCGGGCTCCCTCACTTTCTTAAAACATCATTTTTCTTACACGTCATGTTTTAATTTTTTCAAAAGCAATTGAAAAAATATAAATTGTACCAGGCTGACCCCACCTCCGTTGTCCGATTTGCCCTTTTGATCCAGCCTCCAAACTTCTGCCACTGAGGCGAAGGGAATAATTGGTAGTGGTAGTAGACTGTCACCCTGTGTGTGAACCTGCTGCTGTCCCAAGGGGTTTTCCTAGATAATCTGCAGACAGCAGTGGAATATTAGAGTCCCTCCTCCACGCCACAGAGGCACTAGGCCGTCTGGCTAAAATGGCTGTAAGATTTTTTGTAAAGATGGGCAAAACGATGTATTTTTCCGTAACCTCATTCTCAGAAGCAGATGAACCATTTGAGCTGGATCTTTCCGAACTCCTTATCTTGACGCATACACCTGGCTGGCATAGAAAATTTCAGCCCAATCTGCTAAAGTTGGCAAAGTTATTAAAAAAAATGGAAACGTGGTCTTATAATGTGCAGTGTTGGGCAACCTTAACTAACCACAGTACTGCTGTAACCTATGTGCCTAACAGGGAGATTTCAGAGTAGCAGCTGTGTTAGTCTGTATCCGCAAAAAGAAAAGGAGGACTTGTGGCACCTTCCAGACGCCTTTTCTTTTTAATAGGGAGATATCTCTTTAAGAGATCCATTGGGGGAGGTAGGAATGAGCTGTGTCTGGGTCATTGTTGCAAGGCGGATTAAGCACACCACATCCAGAAGCTTCTGGAATTTGGTGTGGTAGTTTTGGGTCTGCTCCAATAGGTTCCCTGTTGCTGGAGTCAGACTCCAGGGGCAGCTGCTTTGTAGAAGGCCACGTGCCCTGGGTGAGTTGAGAGAAGCTGAGACTAGGAGCCGGAAGCAGGCTGGTGTCCCTACTGCTGAAGCATTTTGCAGCTGGTTAGTGATATTGTGAACCCTCTAACAGGGAAGTATGGGCAATGCTAATTATAGCAAGGAGAAATTGGAAGGGGAAAAATAACTTCTATTTTAATTGTATGCTTTTGATGTTGTTTTGATTTTAACCAAACTGTTCTAGTTAAATTGTCTCAACTAGCCTGGGTTACTAATGTTTCTTTAAATGTAGTAATGGGGAAGGAGTCATTTCTGTTTTGCTATTCTCAGTTTTGTATTTTCTTGTAACAGGGTTTTCTTTAAATCTAAACACTTAACAGAGTGATTGGTTAATCTGTTAGCTGACTGGCTAGCAGTGATTTCAGCAGAGGAAGTCTGCATGGATTCCAACTGAAGATTCCTACAAGCAAGTGGAGAAAAGATGTTGTTTTAGACTCAGCAGACGGTATAGATCCTGTAGCATCTTAAATTTGTTAAGTCTCTAGGGTGCCACAAGGATGCCTCGGTTTTTGTTTTGTTTTTTTGCTGATACAGACTAACACGGCTGCCACTGAAACCTTTATAGATCTTGGTGACCAAAGACTCTAACTTACACATAGGTGAACAAAACCTAAGCTTTTGGGAGCTCTGTTTCTTCTCTCTCTATTTCTGTGGGCATTGAACCATTCCATTTTAATTTGTTTTCTTTATTTATGTATAACTGTGAAGATAATGTCTGTCGATTATAAAATCTTATGATAAAGAAACAAATAATATAATGTTTACAGCATGACATAGTTATTTTATAAAGTTATTTAATTAAATTCATTTCTTTAGTTCCTTTTGGGACTCGAATGGGTGGAGGTTGACCCTGTGCAATCCTTGCTAGAAATCCTTAGAGACTGAACTCTGGGTCTCCAGCTACTTTCTGTAGGAGTTGGGGGGTTTTTTTTAGTCACTGGAGATAGGAAATGAAGTGAACTCTACCCCACCCAAAGGTTACACTACCAGCCATGCTACTGACTCTGTCTGTAATACTGTTCTAACTCTAGATATTCTTGCTTTTCATATACTTGTCTAATACCTTCTTAAATCCTACAAAGCTCTTGCTGTCAGTGATATTTTTCACAATGATTCCACAGACTAATTGTGTGTTGTATGAAAAAGGATCATAGTGGAGCAACAGCACCACTCTAGATATGAATGAGATTAATTTACTGTTCAACAGTTGATTTTTCTAAGTGCTCTAAAATCCTTGTGCTTACTCTGCAAGCCCGAAAATTGGCTGTAGCTCATTGGGGCAATGTGTAGGGTTAGTAGTCAAAATTTAGGGTCATTTGAGCACTTGGGAGTCCCCAAATAAAGCCCTCACCAAAACATCATGTGACATCAGCGTATGGAGAATTGTTATAACGGTAATGTCTGATGCATAATTTGGACAGTAAGATTGTATTCGGGCTGGCTTCAGCCTACTTTTCTTGACAGGAGTGTAACATTGCCTTAGTGACCTTGTTGTTATTATGTATAACTGCTGTGTAGGACAAAGGGGAAGTTTTGGCCACTGTGCTTAAATTGAAGGACAACAGACACACAAAATGTGCTGCCAAAAGGCATTTAGGGAAAAGACAAGTAGAGAAAAACAGGAAAGTCCCAAAAAGTCCCTATGGCCCTATGCAGACAAAAGGGTCAAAGTGACCTGGTTAAATATGCATAATCAGCGTGTAATCAGTAGTAATAAACCAATTAGAAAAGAGACATAACATGAAAAAAGCAAGGACAGCAACAGTCATGCCAATTGAAGTTTATGCATACTTATTTTATGAGTTGCATAAGATATAGATATATATAAAATATTCATGATAATGGTAATTGCAAAAAACTAATGAATATGTAATTTGGCAGTGTATAAAATGTGGTTAATTGTAAGAGGTAGTCAAAGCTTTGTAGAAAAAAAATCCATTATGACTTGCCTGTGCCCCAGAAAAAGGTAACTGGCCATTTCCTTTTTCTGTATGTCTGTCATTTCTTACTGTAATAGTAATTTTGGTTCGAACAAAGGTTTGAATTAATAAACCTGAGTGTCTCAAACCCAAGTGTGTGTCATTCTCACCCAACAAACATTTTATGGTCTTACAACTTTTTTGTGTTCACCTAGGATTCAAACTATTGCATTTTGCTACCCCAAGTTGATGTCATCTGTGCAGGTTTCAACTCAGATAGTGTTTAGCAATCTGTGCTTTTGGGGAAGCAATATTTCAATGTTGTTTGGGATTAAAATTAGATTTCCACAGGAGTTCCAGCCTGGTTGTTGAGCTAGAGAAAGTGATTGGTGCATGCACTGTAGTGATGCTGCTCTGTGACCTTCAGTCAGGGTGCATGTTTTGGCCATTGAACCTCAGCCATACACATTGACTTGAGTTCAAGTCTACTTTTGGCAGATCTCTGAGAATGTCTGATGTGAATTGGGGAAGGGGCTTTTTTTCAAACTTTTGCACCACAAGCAGAGCTTTTTCATTAAGAACTTTTTCAGTGTTGATAAATACAAAGTAATGCACAATGGAAAACACAATCCCAACTATACATACAAAATGATAGGGTCTAAATTAGCTGTTACCACTCAAGAAAGAGATCTTGGAGTCATTGGGGATAGTTCCCTAAAAACATCTGCTCAATGTCCAGCAGTTGTCAAAAAAGCAAACGGAATGTTAGGAAATATTAGAAAAGGGATTCCTAGAATCATAGAACCATATTGATAGTACAGAAAATATCAGTGCCACTATATATATCTATTGTATGCCCACACCTTGAATACTGTGTGCAGTTCTGGTCATCCCATCTCAAAAAATATATATTTGAATTGGAAACGGTGCGGAGAAGGGCAACAAAAATGAATAAGGGTATGAAACAGCTTCCGTATGAGGAGAGATTAAAAAGACTGGGCCTTTCATCTTGGAAAACTGATGACTAAGAGGATATATGAGAGAGGCAGAGGCCCTGAGTTCCTGGGGGTTGTTTTACCCCACTCTACCCCAGGCCCCACCCCCAACTCCATCCTTTCCACCAAGCCCCTACCCCGCCTCTTCCCACCCCATTCTTCCCTCCTCCCCCCTGCCTGTTCCAGGTGATCACTGGCAGGCAGGAGGCGCTGCAGGGGGTGGGGGGGCTGGGGGGAGAGGAAGGGGCTGATCCGCAGGGCTGCTGAGCACCCACTATTTTTTTCCATGGGTGCTCCAGTCCCAGAGCACCCACGGAGTCAGTGCCTATGGATAGAGGGCTGTAAAATCATGAATGGTGTAGAGAAAGTGACTAGGGAAGTGTTATTTACCCCTTTACGTAATACAAGAACCAAGGGTTACCCAAGAAATTAATAGGCAGCGGGTTTTAAACAACCAAACAAAAGTACTACTTCATACAACGCAGTCAATCTGTGTAACTCAATGCCCAGGGATGTTGTGAAGGCCAGAAGTATAACTGGGGTCAAAAAAGAATTAGATATGGTCATGGAGAATTGGTCCATCAATAGCTATTAGCCAAGATGGTCAGGGATACAACCACATGCTCTGGGTGTCCTAAGTCTACAACTGCTAGAAGCTGGGAGTGGATGATAGTTGATGGCTCACTCCACAGGCGCCAACTTCTCCTGGTGCTGGTGGGTGCTCAACCCCCTCAGCTCAACCCCCTCAGCTCCGCCCCCTCCCTGCCCCTATTGGACTCCTTCTCCAAATCCCCGCCCCAGCTCTGCCTCTTCCCCACCACCTCCCCTGAGCGTGCCGCTTTCCTGCTCCTCCCTCCCACAGCTTGTTATGCCGCAAAACAGCTGTTTCACGGCAGCAAACACTGGGAGGAGAAGCGGGGATGTGGTGTGCTCACGGGCGGAGGTGAGCTGCAGCGGGGAGCTTGGCTGCCGGTGGGTGCAGAGCACCCACCAATTTTTCCCTGAGTGCTCCAGCCCCGGAGCACCCACAGAGTCCATGCCTATAGCTCACTCCATAAGTGACCTGTTCGGTTCATTCCCTCTGAAGCCCCTGGCATTGGCTATCATTGGAAGACAGGATACTGGGCTAGATGGACCACTGTTCTGACCCTATATGGCTGTTGTTATAACTGGTGTTTCTAAAACCCTCACACATGTTCAGATTATTTGGAAAACTGCTGTGCCTCTGTGACATGATGCCCTATATTCTTCATAGAGATACTGTCATGATCTGAACATGGCCATAACTAAGATATGTTTTATGTAAGATGGATAATGTGAGGTATTCTAGGAAAGATTATGGTGTCCTAACTATGATTATCCTATTTGTATGCATATATCATTTTTGTATCTGAAGTTGGAAATATTATCTATGTACCTATTACAACTGTCTTTACACCTGGGGAACGGCCACCAAACAAAATGCAATCATCCTGGATGGGCTATTAGGGGGAACAATAGGACTTTGAAGATGCTAATCTCCCACCTTCCTGGGATGCTGCAAACAACTTTTGACTCATGGCTGCTTTGACACTGCACATGTCATGGCTGGGGGCAGCCTCTGGCTCACCTTCTGTGGTGGAAGTTTCTCTGTTGGCTGCTCGTGTCCATCTGCCTACTAGGGAGGTCTTCTGGCCCTGGGTCAGGATCCGGGTTCCCAAGGCCTTCGCGGCCTTCCTCCTCTTTTTTTTGTCTTCCGGGTCTTTTGGGGGGCTGAGAACAGATCCTGAGAAATCTCAGCGAACATCGGGGGTTGACATTCCCCAGCTGACAAGTCGCTGGGTCCCCACCTCCCTCCAGCCTCTCCACGGGGAATAAATTATCAAACCCTGGATAGTCCCTCCCCATGGGGCACGGGTCACTTGCTGGAGGGTTCTCTGCTCCTTGAAGTCTTTAAACTACGATTTGAGGACTTCAATAGCACAGATATAGGTGTGAGGTTTTTTGCAGACGTGGTGGGTGAAATTCTGTGGCCTGTGTTGTGCGGGAGGTCAGACTGGATGATCATAATGGTCTCTTCTGACCTAAATATCTATGAATCTATATGGAAGTTTAGGAACTACGCCCACGGTCACCTCAATGGGGTTTCCCTGAACCTCTATCTCCACTGGGATGGTGGGATAATGGCTCACAGCCCCATGCATGCACGTCACTGCTACGCATTTGGCTTGTAGCAGCTGACTACTTTTTACCAGCTTACCCGATATGAGGGTGATAGCACTCCCAGAGTCCACAAGGGCTGTAGTCTCTGCTCCATTTATCCTCACTGGCCTGGTGTAATTATGCGGGGCTAATGCGACCCCCGCGAGGTGGATAAGGGAGCATGGGACCTCCCAATCCCCCAAGTTACATTGCATAGGCTCCTCGATGCTGGGACACTGTGCTGCTATGTGTCCCCACTCCCCACATGCATAACATCTATAATTGTTTTTAATCACTCCCCTATCCCGGGGGTTAGGGGGTTTAGTCCCAGGGTTCCCCCCACTCAGGCCAATCCCTTCCTCCTGGGGTCCCTGCTGGTTTTTGCGCCCCCCCCCCTCCACCTAGGTCTCCCCGGGGGTTTGGCTGCCCAACCTTCCAGGGTTGGGGTTGGGTGCTTGCTTCAAAAGGGGCCTTCCTTGGGTAGTCGGGTCACTTCCCTGGCTGTCATCCATCTTTCTACCAGCGTGATTATCTCATCATACATGGATGGATCGTTCTGGCCTACCCATTTGCAGAGATCTGGCGGCAGTCCCCGCATGTAATGGTCTATGACGAGGGTCTCCAAAATCTCCTCCAGCCTGCACACCTTGGGCTGTAACCACTTCCGCGCTAGGTGTATGAGGTCAAATAGCTGGGACCTCAGGGGTTAGTTCTCCTGGAATTTCCACTCATGGAACCTCTGGGCCCTTACCGCTGCCGTTACTCCTGATCGTGCTAGGATCTCTGCCTTCAGACAGGTATAGTCAGTGGCATCCATGACAGGCAAGTCAAAGTAGGCCTTCTGTGCCCCTCCACACAAAAAAGGGGAGAGAATGCTGGCCCACTGCTTGTGGGGCCACGCTGTTAGAGAGCTTATTCTTTCACTCTCCCACTTCCCTGGTCCTTCTCGCATGAACAGAGAGCAACAATACCCGAAGCCCGAAGGTGCAAACAATTCGATGTTTATTGGGGTGAACTTCTAGCAAGCTTAAATACAAGTTCCTTTTTCCTTATTTTCGAATCCCAACTTACTTCCTGTTTGCCCCTAATTTATATAGTAATATTCTTAGCTATACCTAAACCAATCATTCTACTGAAATTTAACTAACCAATCCTAACATATTGTAACATGATTAGCTAACCAATTATATCCCACCACCTTAATTAGTTTACACCCAGCAAAATTAATTATACAGCAGACAGAAACAATCACAGAACCAGACAGAGACCAAGCCAATAAACAATAGCAAAGTGGGAACTATAATGACAAAACAATACAGAAGTGAGGATTTCACAACTACATCCATAAAGACATAAGAGTTTCCCAGCTGTGTCTACTGATAAGTGAGTTCTTACCAGACAGAAAACTATCAACCTCAATTTCCTTTTACATCTTCTAGGCACTTCCCTTTCTCTGGAGGTGATAGGCACTATCAGGACAGGATTGTATTCCTAACAGCCCAATAGCACCTTCTTTCAGTGTGACTAGTTTGGAATGTGAGGATGTGACCGGTCGCTTCCCAGCTTATGGCTGCCTCTGTCGCTTAGCCAAAGGCCTTAGCCTGAGAACAGGGCCTCAGACTGTCACAGTAAGAGAAGGACCTTACACTGGCAGACAGTGATTTTGATTCTTTCTTTTATACCTCTAACTAGCCAAGTGATAAGAATACACCTAAATTCTTAAAGTACAGGCCTTTACAGACAGGCCTGAATATCTATATCCTAACACATGCCTCACACTGAGCAGTCCTTTCGCATGAGAGGAGATATGCCTCTGTCATCTCCTGACATCATCTTTGGCAGACAACCAGTGGCCCTCAGGGTTCGCGTCCCATCAGACCCCCGGGACTGGGTGGTGAGGATCTTCAACTGGTCCACCACCCCTCTCAAGAGGGCACGATCTTGTGTCACCTGGCTCATCAATAATTGATTG